CTTTCTGTGATAACAGAAGTGCTCTCTACCTGCACCACCCATTACGATAGCCACTAGGCCATAACTGATTACTGAGAACTTCATTTGAAATGTGACTACTATAAACAAGGACTGGTTATTAAATTGTACTTTATTTTAACTCACACTTAAATAGACATCTGTGGATAGGGGAAGCACAGGTCCAGACTAAGGAATAATGCTAGTCTACAAACTCAGTATAAAACACTATTTTAGAACTGACATATTTCCCTCCTTGAACAGTCTATGTTGGAGTCTTGCTGTACCTAAATATCCTGTGGGGCTACATTTTCCTCTCAGCTACATCACTGTCTACTAATCTATAATGCTCTTGCCCTCTTTTATTAGTCTGTCTAGTGTTTTTACAATATTTAAAGACAGGAGGGTATTTTCCCCCACTGTAGAAAGCATCCTAATTAAGACAGATCAGTCATGCTGCTGTTGTTTATGTCACGATTTTCCTTATAGCTGGAATTAAATGATGCTGCCAAAGGGCATGCTATTGTTTGGCAGCTTTTAATATTATTGTCCATATCAAAAGACTAAATAAATGCAGTCAATATTCCGAATTCCTAACTCGCTAGTAGTTATTCCAATAAAGAGATATTCATGCTACCAAGCATCAGTGCATGCTCTTCACAGCCCTGATAAATCTGCTCCCAGAAAATAAACCATGTTCAACTAGGGCTTTAGAGAGAATATTAGTAAACACCAAGCTCAGAATTTGATTAGCCAAACTCTTTAGCACACAGGGCTTACAATGTATGGATTTTAAACATCTGTACACTTAATGAGAACTATCAAGAAAGAATCATCATCTTTAAAGGGGCTAAATATTACATTTCAGGTGGTTCTTTAGGCAAATAACTCAAACGGGAATTTTAAATAGTAATAGCTATTCACAAGAACTCATTCTATAAATATCCATTTTATAAAATAAAAACAACTACAAAATGATAATATCAAGAGTTATTGAGTACTTTTTGACAGCTAACTCTATTTTAATAGATCCTCACAAGAACCCCATGAAGTAGATACTATTTTATTCCTATTGTAAAAATGAGCAAGTTGTGACTTCATAAGGCTGTCCAAGGCCATATATGTGGGGTGGGAAGGTTGTGATCCAGGTGTGTCTTACAGCAAAATCATGGCTCTTATTCAGTATATATTTTAAAACCTACATATGAAGACCCACTGCATAATAAGACAAGTCATTAACAAGACTTGTCACTAACAAGGCAGCCAACCTCCTTCCTAAGTCTGTCTGAATAATTCCAGCCAGCATTCTACAAATCTTTCTCAGTCGGCTAGATATATAAACTTTGACTATTATGTAGTTAGCATTTTTATTTCAGAAATTTTTAAGATTATATAAGAAAATCAATAAATGCTTTCAACATCCTAGTAACTTAAGAAATATTCATATCACACACACACACACAATATAAGCTGCTCCAGAAACTCACATTCTATTCATAGATCTATTTGCACAAGAAATGTTAACACAGGGAAGGACCTCAGCATCAAATTACACGAACAACCATTACTTTATTAATGTGTAAAAAGAGGAAAAAAACACCTTGAGTTCAGGAGACCTAAGACAGATGTATAAAATGGTAGGGTATAAACTTTGCCTTGACAAAATCTTTGTAGTCCAGATAAGTGAGGGAGAAAAAAAAAAAAAAAAAAAGGAACTGTATAAAAAACAGGAATTTATTTATTTCTCATAATACTGGAGGCTGGAAGTCCAAAATCAAGATGCTGGCTGACTCCATTCCCCAATGAGGGCTTTCCTCAGTGGCCACATTTTGGCCGTGTGCTCATGTGGCAGAAAAAGAGAGAAAGGTAGCAAGCTTTCTGTTATCATTTCTTATATAGGCACTAATCCCATCATAAGAGCTTTACCCTCATGACTGCTTCTAAACCTAATTCCCTCCCAAAAGCCTCATCTCCAAACACCATCACATTGGTGGTTATGACTTCAACATAAGAAATGGGGCAGGGTCACAATTCAGTCCACAGAGGGATGTTACAACCAAACTTCAGTACAAAAGAGTTCAATGACTCTTATAGGAGAATAAATAATCCAACAGAGGAGTAGTATAAGGTAAGCATGGAAAGACCCAGAGCATACAGATTTTGGACAGCTGTTAAGTATCGGACTGAGTTCAACACTGTTACATAATAAACTTGATCAAAGTTGTTAACCAAAATTCATTTGGTGAGATATTATAGGATATTTTAAGGAGAGGCAAGAGCGATATCTGATATAGAGTTGCCCAAATGTGAAGGTGCCATTAATTACCCTAACAATGGCTCACTTAATAAAAAAAATGGGATTCAAAGTGGAGAAATGAGAGTCAAATGAGTATGGCAATAAAAGAATCTTAGAAACCAACTGGCAATACAGGAAACAAACAATATATATTATGGGGCCTCTTCTCAAGTGGTACCTAGAAATATATCAGAGCTACCATGAATGGAAAAAAACACTTGTTTGGAGGATGTGAAACAGGGGTCAATGAACTCAACAGCTGTCATGCAAAGTTGGTTTTGAGAAATACTAAAATGGTTGCATGAAGTACAGGGCAAACAACATTGCCATTGCAATTCGGTGACACAGCCTTTCTCAACTAGAGTATTTACAAAATTGTTGGTTAAAGGCATTATATTAAGAAGCACAATGAGCCCTGGCCAGTTTGGCTCAGTGGTTAGAGTGGCAGCCTGCAGTCCAGAGAGACCCAGGTTCGGTTCCCGCTAAGGGCACGTACCTTGGTTGCAGTTTGTCCATGACCCTGGTTGGGTCCTGCGGGTGGCAACCACTCCATGTGTCCCTTTCACGTTGATGTTTCTCTCTCTCTCTCTCCCTCTTACTCTATCTGAACAAAATATGAAAAAATGTCCTCCGGTGAGGATAGGAAAAAAAAAGCACAATGATTGTGAAATCGTCTGTCCATCATCTTTCTATTACATAAGATAAAATTTAAATTGTTGAATAGAGAATGGGCATTGAGGGTGTAGAGCAGAAAAAAACAAAATAAAACAAAAAAACACTAACTACTTACAAATGTACCCGTAATAAAAAAATAAAAAGTTGTTTTAGTGAAATAACAAAATCAAGTACTCTAAATAACTTTTTCTCTCCTTTATTCTAAACTTTATATTAGTTAAGAAATAATCTTCCGCCTTAGAGTTTCCTAATAAAACTGTCAAATTATAAAAATAAAACTGTCAAATTTGTTATCGCAGAATTCTTATCTCTTTTTCTTAATAGCAGTTTAATGGATAATAAATGCTATGTTAGAAAAGAGTGATCTATCTCCTTTGAGACGTTTTCTATTTAACAAGTGAGTAATTTTACTGTTTAGAAACTCCCATCTTTAAAGGAAAGTACGAGTAATTATCTTTTATATTTCTTCTAATTAAGATATACTTTTCCTGTATTTTCTTCTTTTAAGGATACCTTAGCTGCATATTTCTTCTAAATCTTATCAATTACATATTTTTTTCTTTCCAAGATTTTTTCATTTTATTTTGATATAATCTGGGAAGCTGTAAAAAGAGAATGCTAATAGATTTACAAATGTGGGAGTTAGAAGAGTGTAGCCAACAGAAAATAAAACACAGTAGTACTCAATTCCTAACACCCACAGAGAGGGTGACAGAATCTTTGTGTAAAGTTTTTCTCTAGCTTCCATGGCATCTCTATCTTATTTCACAGATCCCTAAAACTCAACATTATCTAAAATTGAGAACTAACCATCTTTCCTTACATACCAGCTTCTCGTTTTTTTGTATTTGGTTCAATAATCCAGAGTAGTTGGTGCATAACTACAATAAAGTTTTCACTGTTTACTTTTAATGGAAATTGAGAATGATACAGTCTTTAATACATCTAAATTTATTTTCAAAATTCTTAACTTAGTCTTTCCTTCTTTTGTACTTCATGAAATGATAATGACAGTTGATAGATTTTTGTGATTGTAGGTGTTTAGGAACTTACTTGGCAACATAATGCATAAAAAATTAGGTAACTCTGTATTTTCCCCTAGTTACTTTCTGTGAAACAGGATTCTCATACACTCTTCTTGTTCATTTACTTGTTTCAGTAGTTTGGAGACTTAAGTGAATCTAAGAATTATCTGGAAGCTTATTTAAAAATATAGGTTCTTGCTACTCCTTCTCTCCCCTATAAGATTTTGGCAACAATGATGTAGTTATTTTGTAGGTTGAGATCCTTAAAAACAAGAAATGTGGTTCATTCAATGAGTTGTATCCACCGGTCCCTAGACATTTTGGAACTTACTGAATCCCGTTTCTTGTATGAATGCGGCACCTTCTGCATTTCCAGGTTTTTTGGAGCAGCACACAATCTGCAAGTGGAGTCCGGGCTGTTCACAAATTAGGAAATGCCCATGTTCTCTCCAGAGCTACCTGTTCCCACTTGAGGACCTCACGACAGGTGCTCAGTTCAATTCTGTTGCATGTTTCATGAAGCTTAGAAGTAGGTTAAACCGCTCCATTCTAAAGGAAGAACTGACAGCTTTTCAACTAGCCCAGTATCTGTCTCAGAACTTACTATTTGCTTTGGGACTGCTATGCAAAGGGCCAGGTAACCAGGGTGGTCGGGGTGTGGAGCGGGGCGAGGCCGCCGGTTCCTGCAGGGCACAGGCCCGCACGGAAGCGCAGGGCAGAAGCCGGCAGAGGACACGCGCTTTTCCCGCGCTGCCAGCAGCTGAGCGGCCCGGCGCCCCCGGGGCATTGTGCGCGCGCTGCCCGGCGATCGCAGGCCCGGGGGCAGCTCCACCACAGGAGACAAGACACGCCTCAGACCAGGCAAACTCCCGGCCTCCTCTGGCCCCTAGCCAGAAGCCGCCGCCCGCCACCTCCTCGCCTCCTCCGCTGTTGCCCCGGCCGCCCCGCCGGGCCCAACACGCCCGAGCCTCCGCGTGGCCCCTCGGCCCTCAGCGCGGTTGGGACCGATGTGGCGCATGCGTGGTGGCGCCACGAGGCGCGGGAGCTGCGGCGACGGGGGCAGCGGCAGAGCCTGCCGCGGGCAGGGCCGCCCGGGCCGGGTTCGCGGGGGCGGCGGCAGCGGCGCCGTGGGCTGGCGAGGCCGAGCGGGCGGCGCCCGCCAGCAGCTGGAGGAGCGGTTCGCCGACCTGGCGGCGAGCCACCTGGAGGCCATCCGCGCGCGAGACGAGCGGGACCGGCAGAACACGCGGCTGCGGGAGGAGAACGCCCGGCTGCGGCTGGAGAACCGGCGGCTCAAGCGCGAGAACCGCAGCCTCTTCCGTCAGGCCTTGCGGCTCCCCGGCGAGGGCGGTGATGGAGCGCCCGCGGAGGCGGCGAGGGCGACCCCGGGGCCCGAGGAGGCCGGCACGAACCGGACGGCGAGAGGCGGCGACCCCGACGAGGAGCCGGGCAGCCCCAGAGCCCTGAGGGCCCGCCTTGAGAAGCTGGAGGCCATGTATCGCCGCGCCCTGCTGCAGCTGCACCTGGAGCAGCGGACGCCGCGCCCGCCTGGCGACAAGGAGGAGGTGTCTGTGCGTGAACTCGACAAGGAGGAGGCGTCTGTGCGTGAACTGGAGCCCGGCCTCCGAGCCCAGGACCCCAAGCCCGCTGAGCCCTGGCCGTAGCCGGAGGCCCAGTCGGGAGAGGCGGGGCCTAGCGCGGCCCCTCCCCCTCCTCGGCTCCCCGGCCCCCCGCCAAGCGCAAGCCCTGGGCTCCGCCCGCGGAAGCGGGCGCTGTGCCTGCCGCCGGGCACTTCCGGGAGGCGGCCGGGCGCCAGCGCCGAGCAAGGTGCCGGTTGCTGGGGTCCCTGCAGGTACCCAGCACCTGCCTCTTACCGCTGCTGGTTTCTGTACGGAGAGAGGCCTAGTGACCGAGAGGCGGGTTTTAAAAGAGCAGGAAATGGGTGTCCGGCCGCACCTCCTAATGCCTGAACTTTTGTGAGGTTGTGAGGACTTGTAATTTTTCCCTCTATTTTGATTCTTTGAGGGATGAATAATGCATTTTTGAGTTGGTTGTGTTTTGTGCATTCTTCAATCTCCTATGCCTCTAGCCATTATTTCTTATGTGGCCAACATTCTAAGTATTGTTTTTATAAATTGGTATTACCTGGATTTCTTATAAAGTACCATCCTTTTTATTGAAAAGTTATTATTTATAACTTAGGAACTCAGTCTGTCTCTGGCTCTAGTTCTTACACATCTAATATATATTGATTTGTTTATCCTTGGGAATTTTTAAAGTATCTGCCTATAAGTGATTTTTTGAATTGATAAATAAATCTGGTGCATTAAAAATAACCTAAAAGTATCCCAGGACTATTATTTGAAGTTTGTGAAATGTTTACATATGTTTCTTTAGGAAATATTTGACATATTTAATATCTAACTTTGTTTAACCTTTACAAGGTAACATTTTCTTTTCGCCTATGTAACAGTGATCATTTTTTACACTCCTAAAGTAGTCTAAATATTTCATTATTTTTATTACATTTTAGAGTTGACATTAGAGTATAGTCAGTGCACAGGTACTTTGCCTAAGTTGGCTGTTTAAGAATTTTTTTAAAATTATGAATTATTTGTATATGAAAAGGCTGAAAACAAAATGATTTAACTCTGAATTGTGATTTCAATGGGAAAAAGTCATTAATTCTAACAGAAGATATTCCAAAAATCACTTCAGTGCATTTTGTTAATAATACTTTTGCACACTAAAAAGGATACCACTGTGCCTGATGATCATGAGTGTAAGAGAATGTTAAGTGCTAGAAAAAACAATTCAGTTCAAGAAATAAAGAAACCATGAGAAGAGTTTGTGTTAGAGCTAGAAAAAAATCATAGGTAGAGTTTTTGCTTTATTTGTGACATATTCCACAAGTTTTAAGTATATAGCATATATTACAAATCAAAGTACCAAGGAAAATAGTTTTGTGATTTCTCTAGTCCTGGGTTTTGAAGATATTTTGTTTATTTACTTAAAGGTAGTTGCTATTTAGTTGTTAATATTAAAATCTTCCCCTATGACCAAGAATATGAGAAGAAATGGTGAGAATAGGTAGGTATATGAAAAGTATTTCTATCCCCTTTAATTAATTTTCAAGCAAGGACAAAAGCATTATCGGCTCTACTGCTACTTAATATTGGTTTTAAATTAGTTAATCTCTCTAAGGCTTAGATCTCATCATTAAAATGAACATAACCTACCTAAAACGGCTATAAAAAGTTTAGTGAGATGCTATATGCAAATTGCCTGCTTCAAAGTAAGTGCACTACCAATGAGAATTACAAGCCAAAATGTGAATGTCAAATGAATGTTTTACTGACACTTTCCCTTGTCTTCTGTATTTTGCTCCTTTATGACTTTATGAGTATTAGCAGAGATATGTATATTTTGAATGAGTTGATATTTTTTTCACTTTTGTGTTTGTTAATAAAGCAAACACTTAAAGCAGGGGTTCTCAACCTTCCTAATGCCGCGACCCTTTAATACTTATGTAAGTTTAAAACTTATGTAAGTTTCTAATGTTGTGGTGACCCCCAACCATAAAATTATTTTTGTTGCTACTTCATAACTGTAATTTTGCTACTATTATGAATCGTCAGCGGAAATATGTGTTTTCCGACGGTCTTAGGTGACGCCTGTGAAAGGGTTGTTCAATCCCCAAAGGGGTCACGACCCACAGGTTGAGAATCACTTACTTAAAGCCGTATGTAAAAAAGTTCAAAAATATTGCCAATTGTGGTAAAGTTCAGAGTATTAAACAAACAAGCAAAATATTTAGTTTATATGGTTTTTAAGCATCTTTTGTTTTAAAACCATGTACAATATAAGCATGGTGAAACAATTTTTTGTAAAGTGATGAGGCATACACAAACACACACAGGTGAGAACTACTTTTTAGCTTAATTCCTGAAAAATATTAAAAATTCTGAAACCAAAGTGCCCCATAAGATGGCTTAAGTATAACTGTATTTTAACTTTGTTGAAATTCTCTGCTGATAATTGATAAAGTTTCATGTAATAATATAAAAAATGCTTTTATATTAAAATATGTACCTGTTTAAGAAATGGGTAAAATTGGTTTTAGAAAAATTTGATCTAGGATCCAGTTTAAAATAAACTGAAGATCATCATAACTGTTAACATTTTCATCATTTCAAATTTGTGTAATGAAAGGACTTACAATTTATAGAAATGAGCAGCAAAAATGTGTCTGAGGATTGGCATTTTTTTAATCAGCATTTTTGCATGACTGCTACTCACAAAAGCATATTTTCTTGTGTGTTTTTGAATTTAAGATATAAATTAAAGCAATATAAAATGAGTACTTATGTAAGTTATAGAACACATTCTCCTTGCCAAACTTCTTCAACACTATAAATATTTGAAGATTATTTGAAAACATTTTATAGTATTAGTTTTAGGTTTGCCAATTCATGAGTATTGCCATGATGAAACTAATACTAAATTACTTAAACTGAATTATCATTATATATTAAATAATTATTGGCAGCATGATTTTGATTCTGGTGCCAAAATACCATTTTCTGTTTTGCTACAGGGAACAGATTTTTGCTGAGAATTTGTCACAAAATCTGCATGAATAAATGACAAAATTGAATATTTCTGTTAAGTGATTAATCAAATGTAAATTCTAATTATATTATAAACTTTCTTATTTTAATTCTTACCCAAGGAAACTCTTCCATTTATCTTCAGGTAGAGCAGGAGGGAGAAAGAGAGAGAGAGAAACATCAATATGAGAGAGACACATTGATTGGTTGCCTCCCCCCACGACCCCGACCATGGCCAGGGACCAAATCGCAGCCAAGGTCATGCCCTTGACTAGAATTGAACCCATTACTTTATGGTCCCACGGGCCAGTGCTAAGGCAACCCGGCCAGGACTAAACTTTTCTTTTTTGATAAATATCTATCTGATATAGACAGTATTTATGCAACGTATATATGGACCAAAGAAAACACATAGATAATACCCACATCTCACTTTATAAGGATTAATCATGCTTAAAATTCGAATTTTATAGCTTATGCTAAGATTAGCATGACTCAGTGATCAGAATTAAGCTACATTTTATTTAGTCCACAGATTTTGCTTATTATACAATTGATATTCAGAATCTACTGTTCAAGATGGTATTTGCATATCTTATGATGATTTATTAGTAAGGGAGTCTTTTTTTTTTTTTTTTGAACCCAAACTTCCAGACATCTTTTGTATTTAGATAAAAATTGAGAAAGGACCCTGGTTGGTTTGGCTCAGAGGTTAGAGCATTGGCCTGTGGACCAGTCATTGGTTTGATTCCCAGTCAGGGCCACAAACTTGGGTTGCAGGTTCATTCCCTGCCCCCAGTCAGAGTTGTATATGAGGCAACCAATTGATGTGTCTTTCACATGGATGTTTCTCTCCCCCTTCCTCCCTCCCATTCTGTCTAAAAATCAATGGAAAAAATATCCTTGAGTGAGGATTAAAAAAAATTGAGAAAGGAAAACAGTGACTTTGGTGCTTGATTCTAATTGAACAATAAGCATTCTACTCTAAAAAGTGAGTTATCTGAAGGAGTAACTTAACAAAAATCTATCTTAAATTCCATACTTAGGAATGATAAATGTTTCCCTTGGCCTTTCAGTTTATCTTTGACTTTATCTTAAACCTATAACCTATATTGTATTGTAAACTTAAGGAATCTGCCTTTGGTTATGATGAAGGCTCTGTCATTAATAACCAAGAAATTCAACACTTAGTGACTATTAAAAACAATGAAAAAATTTAAAAATCTAGTAAAATTTCTGATTCAAGGGCTTCAGGGTGTCAGGAAGCTGTGCTCCTCATGGTTGGTCATTCAGGGTCTCAGACTCTTTTTATCATGTTTCTCTGCCTTTCCCTGTGTCATTGTTTCATCTGCATAGTTGAAATAGGTTATTTCCAGAACCAAGTCTTCACTTTTGGGAAAGAAAAAGAGAGGCCTAGTCAGACCTGAAAATGATATAAATTTTTCTTGTTACATTTTATTGGCAAAACTTCATCACATGACCCATTTAACTTCAAAGGAGGCTGAGACATGTAGTCAAGCTGTAGAGTCTTTTGCCTAGCTATAATTTTATTACTATGAAATAATAGGAGAACTCATTTTGGTGGTCTGCCATCTTAATGGAGGCTGGCATCTACTTAAATTTTTTAAGAATTTTTATGTCTTGGCATAGCATTTTTGAAACTATATAACTTAATTAAAATAAAAACAACCCAGCTGGTGAGGCTCAGTGGTTGAGTATTGACCCATGCACCAAGAGGTCACCGGTTTGATTCCTGGTCACGGCACATTCCTAGGTTGTGTGCCAAACCCCCAGTTGGGGGGCATGTAGGAGGTGACCAATCAATGTTCTCTCTTATTGATGTTTTTATCTCTCCTTCTCCCTTCCTCTCTAAAAGCAATAAAGAAAATAAATAAATAAACACAATGTGATTGCTTTATAGTAAAAAAAAATCTAACCTTTTTATTCTCCTCTGTACTATCCTTATGAGTACAAAACATGAGATATTACTTTGATAAGAAAAAACAGCTATAAATTTTATATAGGAAATCCCTATAAAGTATGAACCATCTGTAAATAGATTATATATAATAAAAAATATGGTTTTAAGAACCTATATTTGATAAATGTTATTTTACATGTAAATCTAGATATATAACTTCAGGGGGAAATGTTTTCTGTTTATCTTATTTCTTGTTCACTACGATTCTACAACTTGTAGAGTTGAAGGAGACCATGGAGAGTTTAGCCTAGCAACTTTCAGTCTTTTTGCCAACAACTTAACAGCTTTCAGAGGGAACCACATATACATCACACTTCATAACTTAGAATATGCTCACCACAATCCTAGATAGTAGTATTCCTTCTTGTTTATAAATGAGGAACCTGATGAACAAATGTATTGAACATTTTCCAAGTTAAAAAAATTATTTAAAAATTTTTTTTAAATAAAGATATAAGTGACATAACATTTTATCAATTTTAGGACAAATAGATAATGATTTAATAAATGTATAGCCCTGGTCAGTGAGGCTTAGTTGGTTGGAGCATTGTCCCATGCACTGAAGCGTAGCAGGTTTGATAATCAGTCAGGGCATATACCTGAGTTGCAGGTTTGGTCCCCAGTCAGGGTGCATATGGGAGGCAACTGATTGATGTTTCTCTCTCTCCCTCTCCCTCTTTCTCTAAAACATATATATATATATATATATATATATATATATATAGCAA